TCATGTACTTTACAAAGTGGTTCCTCCAATATTTCTACTCATCCTGCATGAATTATCTAAGAACTTTCTTCATTCTCATCACCCATGTTTCAAGTGCCCATTATATACCCATGAATGCACACACATGGCCACAGTTGATTGGCTCAGCAGTGGATGTTATACCAAACTCAGGTCAACCAGAGCTATTTCTTGCTACTGTCTAAAAAAGAATGAAGATATTTTATTTTCTTTGGATATATATCCTGAAATGGGATTGCTGGATCATATAGTATTTTTTTGTTTTTAAAATTTTGAGGAATCTTTATACTGTTTTCCATAGTGGCTAAACCAATTCACATTCCCATCAAAAAAGATTCCTTTTTCTTCACATATTCACTAACACTGATCTCTTGTCTCTTTTTCTCTGTTTTATTTTTTTATCCTCACCCGAGGACATTTTTTCCCCCATGTTTTGTTAAGATAGAGTTGGAGGGAGAGAGAAGAAGAGAGAGAGAGAGAGAAACATTGACATGAAAGGGACACATCGAGTGGCTGCCACCCACACGAACAACCATGGCCGGGGACAAACTACAACCGAGGTACATGCCCTTAGCGGAAACTGAACATGGGTCTCTCTGGACTGCAGGCTGGTGCTCTAACCACTGAGCGAAACTGACCAGGGCTCGTGTCTCTTTTTGATACTAGATATCCTACCAGTAAAGTGATATATCATTGTGTTTTTCATTTGCATCCCCTTGATGATTATGATGTTGAGTATCTTTTCATATATCTGTTGATTGTTTGTACTTATTTGGAAAAAAATGTCCCTTGCCTATTTTTTAATATGACTATTGTTTTTTTATATTGAGTTGTGTAAGTTCTTATATGTATTTGAATATTAACCCATTATTAGATATTTAAGTCTTTAATTCAATTTGAGTTGATTTTTGTATATGTTGTAGAATAGAAGTCCTTAATGCATTTCAAGTTAAATTTTGTGAGTGACGTAAGATAGGAATCTAATTTTATTTTTTGGCATGTGGATATCCAGTTTTTCCAGTACAATTTATTGAAGAGACTATTTCTTCCTCTTCTGTATTTTTGGTGCCTTTATGAACCATACATATTTATGGGATTCCTATTTTGTTCCACTGATCTGTGTCTGTTTGCATGCAATACCATTCTGTTTTGATTGCTAAACTTTGTAATGTACATGGTGGGGCAAAAGTAGGTTTACAGTTGTGAGTACGCAAGACACTGAGTTTATTCTTGTATGATTACTCATTAATTATGGTATTATTTTCTATACAACCCACTATAAACCTATTTTGCCCACCCAGTAGTTTGAAATCGGGAAGTGTGATGCCTCTGCTTTGTTCTTCTTGCTTGCTAGAGATTGCTTAGCTATAGTGGTATTCCATGTTGCTTTGTGCATAATTAAGTCCACTGTAGTTGGATGCTAGTTAATTCACAGTTTCTTTTAAAATATTTGAGCAAATTGCAGCTCTCAAAATAAGTAGCAATGTGCAAATGCATTGTTGCGGCTACTGGTGCTTTTTTTCTTACTCCACTTGTAAATCCAAGAATGTAGCATTAGCAATCAATTTGAATCCAGGCAAGGGGAAAAGAGTCATGCTATAAACATTCTCAACATGAACAATGCTGTCATTGACAAAGACGATGAAGAGGTGGAGTTGCAGCCTACACTTCTGATACAGAAAGTGAAATTACAGAAGAGACAAATCATAAGATGTCTGTGAGCTGTATACTGGAAACAACCTCTTGGACAAGGTCTGCTCTCAGTGATTCAAGCTTTTTATATATATTAAGGTTCGTAGTAGCATGTCAGTGTCTTTAAAATCGTGTGTGTGTGTGTGTGTGTGTGTGTTTCACATTAAGTATATTATTTTCATTTGAGCAGATCAAGAATAAATAGCTACTTTATATGAGTCTTGCCTTATTTTCAGAGATAAAATGTAATATGTATGCATTATTAAAGAGAAAAATTAAAATTAAGAAATAGGAACATAGGGTCTTTTGCACTTTTTGTTACACTAGAAATAAATCACTGACAATGGCCCATTTAAAAACGAAATTTGTTTCCGGTCACTGCTTTTCACCTCTGTTGGCACATTCTAGGAGCCCATGCTAATTGTGTTTATTGGGCACTGCTGTTGGAGGATAAAGCTTTGGTATCACACTCAGCCACAGATATATTTGACCATTCACTCTTTGAATGGGTTGTTTATTCTTTTTCACTATCTCTGACCAAATCTAGCACACACATTATTCTGATGCACAGTCCTCTCACGCAACACATTATTTGAGAGTGATGATTTTATGATGTGCAAAATAAAACTTCTACTTTATTGAACATTTTTATGCTGTTCATTATGTGTCCCAGCTTTATAAATAAACCTATTTTCATTTCCTGTCTAAGTCTGTACCTTTTTATCATCTTTCTGTTTCTCTTCCCAGTGTATTAATGAATCTGACACACCCTCAACACAAACTTAACTAATAAATTGTATGTTATTATTTTTGTTTATTTAACAACATGTGGTAAATATGATCATACACTTTAAGGAGGTTGAGGGTTTGAAGCTCAATCAGAAACTCAGAGTTTTTGACACATGTCTTTATCAGGTTGATCTTCTGTTTGCAAAACCTCAGAATTCCTTGGACAATATTCATCACCTCCTTCTTTAGTTCTTAAGGCAATCAGTTTTGTTAGTAGCTGAAATATACCAAAGACTCTTCTGAGATTTAGGATGGAAATATGCAATGTTTTCACAAAAGGATTAAAGTCACAAAAATGTAAGAGAATCTTAAAGATAATACACTTCAATTTCTCAGCTAAAGCAGTAAATTATATCTAAAATTAGTAAAAAATGTTCACAATTCTGCTTTCTGATGCCACACATTCTATTTGACATGCACTCCATACATTTTCTATAAAGCTATTTGTTCTAACAATGTTTCTATAAAACTATATATTTCAATAAAACAATATATTTTTAATAAAGTTCTTTGAATATGCCTCTTGGATTACATATTATCACGTCAATTCAATTACTTTGCATTTGACTTTTTTTTTTTTCCCTATAACTAACCACATTGACTCCTGGACATGATATTGTTTATTTCTGTCCATCGAAACTTGCTGACTATGACTTAACACACTGTCTTTTATTTTATTTGATCACTGTGAAGATAAATGGAATTATCACTTCACTTAATCTTGACTCCAGCCTTTACCTACTTATTGCTTACAATATGTATGTCTTTCTTCCTATTTTTAATAGACCAATGAATGTTACATTGCCCATATTATTTTACAGTTAGTAAACTAAATCCAAAATTATTTTTATACAATAACATCAAGCTATGTGTATAGATATTTTTCCCTGCTTAAATGCAGGGTTTCATCTATTAATGATTATTTTTAGTTGTTTATTTTGGAATTTGTGATTCTTGAATATTGATTTATTTTTTTACTCCTTCCAGCCTGTTTGCTTACTTTGCCAACTTTGTCATAGGTTTTGTGAAATATTATCTATTTGGCCTTATCTAATTACTGATAAAAATATTGGACAACACATAGCTTAAAGACATACATTTCAGACATCATTAATTTTAATTAAAAAATTACTCAAAACTATTGAATGAGGCAAACGTTGATTGATATGTGTATGTTTGGAGAATGTAGTAACAGTAAACATTCAAGTAAAATAAAAGACTCAGGATATAAAAAACCACAAAGCAATAAAGATAATACAGCAAAGAGGCAAAAATAATATTACATTCATAGGGGAGGTTTTAATAAATATTGTCAGGTTCTGAAGAAAGAAGAGAATGATAAAATCACACACAATATAAAAATTGGAAGTCCCCTAATGCTTTTATAATTTAAATTTCTTTTCAGTTAAAGAGTAAAAAATATTTGGAACATTTTTTTCATGTAAATGCATTGAACAATAAGCAAGAACATATGATAAAATAACTTTACAAATATTAATAGATTTAAGATACAAAAAATTTACATAAGAAGCCTATATTCAACTAAATAAAAGTAAGAAACATCATTAATAATAATAGCTCCCAAAGATGAAAATATTTGTAGACCTTTTAAATGAGATTAATTAAATGTAGGATGCGGAACTAGACAGTAGAGAACATATCTTAAAATAAGATATATCTGAAATCCCAAATCTCGAAATTCATCTTTCAAGCATTGTTTCTATTTCTGTTTTACTGGAAATCAAAGCATTTTATGGAAGTAATGTATTAGTTTTTATTTGTGAAATATCCTGGTCCCATATATGATTCCATTAAATATACAGGCAGGGAAAGTTGAAAATATCTAGTCAATGAGCAGCCAACTGGTGCAGAAGAAAGTAGGTAAGGTTCTCAGGAAAAGTGAACCACCGGAGACAGCCTGACCATTCTGCAGCAGGGCATCCAGGGCTAGGTAACTACTACATATCTGTAGGCTGAGAGCATGGCCCAGAGGTCCACAGACAACACCAACAGCTTCACGAACACTTGTTTAACCAAGGTCGCCTATGTGGATCATTGAGAGCATTATGAATGGTCAAGCTGGATGACCTCTTCATGACAAACCATAAGTTTTGCTTTGCCACATCCCAGATGACTCATTCATCACAATATACGTGGTGAATAACAATGCACAGGAAAAAACGCATGGATAATTTCAAATACTTTCTATGACTAGTTTCATGTGATGTTGTTACTTTTGCTGCTAAACACTTTATACCTGCATTTTCCTAGGCAAGATTTTATTACAAATACGCTGTATTTTTGAGGACTCAGTGATAATGTGGGTTGATTAGATGAGGAACCATGGTCATGTATAAGTTGGCTAATTTACCTAATATGATATGTATACTTGAAAATTACCCTGATTACTTAAAAATATTCTTACAAAAAAACTGTATGCTTGCAGCAGCCTCTGAAAGGTCATTAAATACTATGATAAGTTCAGAAAATTAACGACACAATCACAGAAATGAAGGAATCCCTTTCCTGGTAATTGCATTCCATAAAGCCTTCTTTACTTCCTTATTCCTGAGGCTGTAAATCAGAGGGTTCAACATGGGGATCACCACTGTGTAGAACACAGAAGCTACTTTGTCCTGACCTAGGGAGTAGCTAGAACTAGGTTTCAGATAAGTATAGATGGCGGTGGAGTAGAACAGAATGATAGCTGTCAGATGAGAGGCACAGGTAGAGAGAGCTTTGTGCCTTACCTCCCCTGAATGCATACGGAAAATGCAGAAGAGAATGTAGGTGTAGGAGGTGAGGATGACCAACAGAGTCCCAACTATATTCACTCCTGCAAAAGTGGAGAAGATGCTTTCGTTCAGGCGTGTGTCAGAACATGAGAGCTTTAAAAGTAGAGGGGTGTCACAGAAGAAGTGGTGGACGACATTGGAACTGCAGAATGGCAGGCTGCTTATGTAACTTGTGTCAACCATGGAGTTCAAAAGTCCTGCTATAAAAGCCCCTGCTGCCATTTTAAGGCAGACTGTCCTGGACATGACCAAGGGGTAAAGCAGAGGGTTGCATATGGCCACATAACGGTCATAAGCCATTAACCCAAAGAGAAGGCATTCGGTTGTAGCCAAGGCGATGAAGAAGTACATCTGCAGAAAGCAGCCAGCAAAGGAGATGGTTTTCTCCTCTGATAATAAATCCACCAACATCTTTGGCGTGATGTTGGAGGAACAACAAACATCCACAAAGGACAGGTTAGCCAGGAAGAAATACATGGGTGTGTGAAGTCGGGAATCAGCTCTGATTAAGAGGATCATCCCAACATTTCCCCAAAGTGTCAGTGTGTAAATCACAAAAAAGAGAGAAAACAGGATCATCTCCAGTTCCAGAGTGTCTACTAATCCCAGCAGGATGAACTCAGTCACCAAAGTATAATTTGTTCTGGTCATGTTTTACAAATATAATTTTCTTAAGCTTGTATTAGGTTGAATGTTTTATTTTTTAAATTTTTACAAAAAAAAATGAAATGTTAATAAAGACATTCACACATGGAAAAAAATCCCTCGGTTAATATAGCATAGTAAATAGAACAATTGACGAAAGAGAGAAATCAGTGCACAATTGGAAAAGCATTTGAATTTATGAAGCACGTGACTTTAGGTAATCTGTTGGAGGCCTCTTCAATAACTGCTCTTGGGGCACATGCTCTATTTAAGGTTCTACAAATGTTCTTCTCTACCAGCTGACATGCAACATGCAAAGGATACAAGTGTACCTGCTGAAGTCTCTCCCAGTCTCTGAGAGGCATATGAGTTTAACTCAAATACAGTGTTTCTTTCTCTCAAGTCCACGCTACTTATTCTTCAACTTCTGAATTCCTGCATTGCCTCCCACAAATTTCTCATGTGCCCTAAGCAGCAAAAATAGCGACCGTTTCAAATAGCCAATATTTTGACATCTATCATATGCTTAAGAATGATTTTGTAGTGTTTTACAAGTAAACTAAGTAATTGTTCTTTTTACTAGGTAAACTATTAATGTAATGTCACGCAGTAGCAGCTCCAGTACCTGTCCACCACAGTAAATAACAGCATCGAATCCTCATGAGCTTTCTTCTCTGGTGTCTTACTCATGTAGACTATTATTGTTTTTAAGAGTTCTCAGAGATTAGAAATTTAAAATATTAATTTTTAAATAAAATAAAATGCAGTGAAAATTTGAATGGCCTATTTGTAAAAATTTGAGACATCTTCTGAGTAAGTACATGTTGCTCCACTTTTATTTTGTTTTCTTAAAAGAGAATTGGGTGACCACAGGGATCAGATTATAAAGTTTACTTGTGGAATCAATCCTCCAAAGGCAGAAACTCCATCTCAAGAGAAGATAAAATTAGCTCACATGAAGATACATGAAATCAAACATTGCATCATGAAGTGGTTCCTGATCTCTGTATTACCTTAAGGACTTATTCCAATATAAAAAAAAATAATTGGCTATTTATATCTTCTCCCTCTCTCTCTTTCTCTTAGCTAATTTCAAATTAGTACAGAACCAACTACCAAATTATTATTGTGTGTGTGTGTGCGCGTGCGCGCGCGTTGAGTGCGATTTGGGTGGATTTGGGTTGGGGTGTTTTCCTTTGTCTGAGTAAGTTTAACCCTTCAATCTAACTCTGTTCTTGAGTTAAATTAATGAGAAGGAGGAACTAACTAAATCCACTGTACAATGCTTAAAAAATAATACCCTGAATAAATAGGACAAAGAATAAGAAAATCAAACTTCTTTTTAATGATTTTGGAACTGTATTGATTTATTGTCTGTGGTTCTTATCGTAGAAGGGGATGATAGCACCAATTTTCCAGACCTAAATACACAAGTGGAACCAAGTTGAATAAAGCACGTCGGATGTCCATATGCAGTGAAAGTCTATATGCAGAGAGAACTCATAATGCATCAAATTTTGTATTACACTTTTTTATTTAAATTATCAATTAATTTTCTACACTAGTCATTGAGGGAGGTGTTATAATTTTACACATATTGCAGACAAAGAAAGCATAACTTCAAGCTACTAAGTGACTTTGCAATAGACAATAGGAAGAGGGAGAATTGAGTTGAGCACAATCTTTAACAGAAAACATTAATACCCAGCTACCTAATATTCCTGTCTAGTTTCATTTTATCTCAGTTACTTAGAAGATTTTATATATATACATACACACATATACACACACATATATGCATTATATGCATAATATACATATATATGAATACATATATGTATATTATATGTATGTGTGCATGTATGTGTGTCTTCTAGTAAATTCAATCTTCTAATCATCAGAACAGGTAGAGTTCTTGTGCTTGTAAAGAAATATCTATAATGTCATGAAAAATACTGCTTAAAAACTTGAATTGTAAAGATCCATCATCATGCCATTAAAAACTACGATCTGACATCTGTGCAAACTTCCATCTATCTATCATCTATCATCTATCTATCTATCTATCTATCTATCTATCTATCTATCTATCTATCTATCTTCTATCTATCTATCTATCTGTCATATAATCTTTCAGTCCTTTTCTTCTGATTATCTTATGAGGTAATGCATATATTGCCTTTCACAGAAGGTGCATAAGTGATAAACTCTATGTTCTGACAACTGTAATCTCTCTGTTTTTTTAAAAAATGTTTCCATTGATTTTTTTAGAGAGAGGAAGAGAGAGATAGAAACATTGATTGGCTGCCTCCTGCATGCCCCCTACTAGGGATTGAGCCTGCAACCCTGGGCATGTGCCCTGACCCTGATCAGGAATAGAACTGGGCTCTCTCAGTCCATTGGACAATGCTCAATCCACTGAGCCACTCTGGGCAACAACTGTAATCTCTTAACTCAGTAAAAAATCAGTATTGATCAAAGGGACTTTACAGTTTATGACATGTAGGGTAAATTCTATATTTTCACAAGTCCCTTACTCTACTGTTACTAAAAAAACTCTGTAAAAATGACGTTAAAAAGCATAGTTGTAAATAAGCTAAATAGTTTTGTTAATCATTGATTCACCTGACACAGGTACATTCTTTCATTACTTCAGATTTTTACATATCTTGATTTTATTATATAAGATTGTTTATATTCATTAATTTAAATATTTTGGGTTGGGATAACAATGAGTCTCTTATTTTTATTTATTTATTTTCTCTAATTCTTTTTTATTACCATTTATCCCCCCATACCCTCTTCCACCTCCCTGTTCCTTCCAACCCTCACAATCACCACACTAGTGTATGTGTCCAACTAGTGTTCTGTATCTTTTATGCTCAGTTTCTGCCTGTATCCCATCATCTCCCAAGTCCCCAACCAGAGCTGTCTGCCTGCTCTCTCTGAGTCTGGCTCTATTTTGTTTGTTCAGTTTGTTCATTAAATCTCACACATGAGTGACATCATATGCTACTTGTCTTTCTCTGATTTGCTTATTTCATTTAGCATAATGTTTTCAAGGTCTATCTATGTTATGTCAAAGGGTAAATTTTTATTCCTTTTTATGGCAGAGTAGTATTCCATTGTGTAAATGTACTACAGATTTTTTATTAACTCATCTACTGATGGACACTTGGGCTGCTTTCAAATCTTGGCTATTGTAAATAATGCTGCAAATACATAAGGGTGCATATATTCTCTTGAATTAGTGTTTCAGGTTTCTTTGGATAAATTTCCAGAAGTAGAATGACTGCATCATAAGGCATTTCCATTTTCAGTTTTTGGAGGTAGCTCTATACTGCTCTCCACAGTGGCTGCACCAATCTGCATTCCCACCAACAGTGCACAAGAATTCCCTTCTCTCCACATCCTCGCTAACATTTATTGTTTGTTGATTTATTGAGGATAGCCATTCTGACAGATGTGAGGTGATATTTCTTTGAGGTTTGAATTTGTATTTGTCTGATAATTAGTGAAGTTGAGCATCTTTTTGTATGTGTATTATCCATCTGTATATTCTCTTTGGAGAAGTGATTATTGGTGTCCTTTGCCCATTTTTAATTAGATTTTTTTTTATGTTGAGATTTATAAGTTCTCTATAAATATTGGATATTAACCCCATATCAGATATATCACCAAATGTGGAATGTGTGCTCCCATTCAGTGGGTTATCTTTTCATTTTGTTGATGGTTTCTTTTGCTGAGCAAAAACATTTTAGCTTGATGTAGTCCAATTTATTTATTATTTCTTTTGTTGCTCTTGCCTGAGGAGATATATCAGAAAATATATTGCTACAGAGTCTACAGCATGAAAGGTAGAATGAAGCACTTAATTATAAAAATCCGCTCATTGTAGTTATTTTCAGTTACTTGTTTATATTTTTCTTCATTTTAACTAGCTAATAAAATTTTTGTAGCACATATTTTTACAATTATTGATCAAGTTAATGGAACAGTGACTGTCATATATTAGGCATTAATTAATATTTGTAGGTAAATAAATAAACATACAAATATAATTAATTATGTTTTAAAATTTAAATGTAAAAAATTTTAAGCCAGTTTCACAAATTATATGATTTTATGATTCATCACTTTTTAAATTGTTAACATATTTATGTATATCATTTCCCTAAGGATTAACTTAAGGATGTTAATATTTTACTCCGATAAGTTTATTCAAGTTAATAAAAAAATGCATGTAAGAAATAATAAATAAGAATATATGATAAACAGATTCTTTATTTAATCATTTCTTTGTTAAAAGGAACATGTGAATTGCTTTTTTATGCAGAAAAATGAATATGTTGATTAAGTAAATGTAATGTCTATTGATTTCTCTTGAGATTCGTAAAAAATAACATAATTAGAAAATATTTTGATGCTGAGCCACATATTTTTCCCAACATAAAAGAAAATAATTTGCAATTTTCAAAGGGATTAATTACATTGAACTAAAAGAAGTTGGGGAGAAATCTTCATATCTTTGTCACATATTCGCCAATTCCCTCTCAAGATAATCATTGTTTATGGTACTTATCCTGTCATTAATTATTGCTCTCTATTCTCCATTAATTTAAGCAAAAAAAAATTTACCAAATATTTTTGATAATGAGGTTCATTATGCATTCACTTTGAATGGTGAGTCTATCTCAAAAGGTTGCAGCATTAACATTACAAATATAGTACCAAGTTGAAATGAGGGTGCATTCCAAAGAGTGGACAATCACTGTTAATGTTAGCTCTTCTTTTAATTTAATGGTTATGGTTTATGAACTCATTGCTTGAAATTTTGTTCCAAAAGGTTATCATTGCAAATGTTTTTTTTTTTGTTTTTTTTTTTCTGTTTCTTTATGTCAATAATGGTATTGAATAAACCAAATAATTTCAATTTGTATTTAAGACTGAGAAAGGTTAGAGATATTTGCTTTTTAAATTCTATTCTTTTTTTTTATTAATTAATT